CTGGGGAATCAAAGATCTGCCCCTGCCCCTCCAAGGACTGCGCCCCAGGGCTGCCAAAGTCAACTGCTACACCCAGGGCAGAGAGGCTCAAGTGACTTGTCCAAGGTCATGCTGCTGGTAAGTGGCAGGGCTGTGCCTTCACCCTCTGGCCGTTTGAGTCTAAGTCAGATGCTCTTTGTGTGTCACCAAATAGGATGATGAGCGATGCAGGCACTCATCTGCTCCCATGCTCCATGATTTAAGTTGAGTGCCCAGCCCCAGGGACGTTCAGTCTCACCCTCCTTCTTCTCCTTCAAATAAACTTGGAAGACTGTATTCACTTTGGGGTGCTACATTACTGGAGAGAGGTTGACAAATTTGCATGCATGTGGAAAAATATGACAGCAATGGTGAAGGTGGTGGAAACGTTAATATTACAACTGAGCTTGAGTTATAATAATAATAAATGCTGCTATGCCCACAGCTGAGGACGGATGACCTTGCGGAGACATGCTAGCTGACTTCGAAAACAGCAAGGCTGTCACAGAGAAGAGAAATTAGACATCTCAGAATGGGGTTGGAGGGCCGAAGTTGCAGATAAGGAGCTCTTTGTTTAATGTAAGTAAGAAGGTCTGACAAATCACAGCCACCCTACAGTGCAATGATGTGCCCCATGAGGGAGTGACTGCAATGACAGTTAAGATATTTGAACTGAAGGAAATGACTACCGGAGCTGGTATCACCTTTCTTCTTTCAGTAAGACAACTTCCTTCCTCTTGTCACACGTTTTAGCAGGGATCGTGGCTACTCACTTTTCCTATCCTCCCTCGCAGTGGGGTAGCTGAGTGTGGCATATGCCTGAGTTCTTGGTCCTGGGAGGGGAACAGGACTTTGGTACCTTTTGCATCACTCGCTTCAAAAAACGTCACTTGCCCTCACTTTTCCTCTCTCTCGTCTTATGGGCTGGTGTGACAGAGGAAGAGCCAGGGAGCTTTGTCCACACAGGCAAGGACAACACTGTAGCACAAGGCAGAGCAACAAGATGTGCCCCAGGGTCACCTGCTGACCCTGGACCACAAGGCTAACCAGGTACGGTTCCAAGAGGGAAAGAGATACTGGTTTAGCTTGAGCCTCCACAGTTTTGAGTCTCCCTGTTAAGAGTGGTTTAGCCGGTGTCCCAACCAAAATAACTCTCTCTTGGAGATGAACGTATGACTCAGGTATTATATAAGTGTTTGTGAGCAATGATTTCTGTAATCTTATAATTCTGCATCCCCCCAACAAACTTGTCTCCTGTCTTCCAAAACCAGTTGTCCCGACAGTCCCTACTATAGTCAAACATCATCACTCCATTGTGTCCATGACCTCATTTTTATAAAGTACCAAGGTTCAAAAAAGTCAAGAATTGTTGTCTCCCACTTTCTTTTATCCCTTTATCAAGTCTGTTCCCAAGGCTCATCTTCTTTTCCTTTAAAGAAAACATCCTCTGCAAAAATACAGATGATAAAGAAACTTTAAAGTTCTCTTTGTGGTTATTTAAACTTAAAGACTGGTTTAAAAAAAAGTGATGCATTATTTAGCCTGCGTGTGATAACATTCTCCTGCAATTGTTTATTTTCCCTTAGGGGAGAAAAATCAGAAGCCAGGCCTTACTAAAGTTGAAAGTTTGGATAACAAACGTGTTTTGGCTCAAAAATGCATCAGGAATCCAACATAATTTTGTTATTTGGTCCACACACCCAGCCAGAAGAATATTCTGGTTTATTAAGTGCATCTCTCTCTAAGTATAATAAAGTAGTCAAATTGATGAAATGTGATTCTTGCCTCTGCGCTTGGGTCCTAGGAGGAAATAAGCCAGTGACAGATGGACCTCTAATTCTGTCCCATAGATAGATATGCCATTTTTATTTCAATTTCCATCTCTCCAGCTCGTGTTTTTCCTCTTATTTATAATGCCCTTTCCTCTTACCTCCTAATTCATGCAAACTCTATAGATTCTTCAAGATTTTGCTCTATAATTTTCCTTCTCTTAATTTATCCAGTAAATCTGTCGTATATGACTCTGAACCTAAGGTAGTTGCCAATAACTGGTCCATATTTCATTTTTATCCACAGTAGCTGCTCCATGTCTCATGTTTTCTTTGAAACCCTTCCTTTTCTAGATGTTCAATACACAGATTTGAAGCATGGATAATTAAAAGATACGGATCAGGCATTTTTTCCTAATGATATATAAATTGTCAGTGAAGAGCAAGATAGAAATCTATTGCCCCGCTGATGGGAAGCAATTCATAAGGATGAATGAATTTGGTTTTCCCACCAGAAGACTTTACAAAAAGAAAAGCTTTTGTGAATTTTGAGCTTTGCTATTAGCAGTACTTATACTGAGCATAAAGGTTCTCATTTCATTTCATAACTGCATAATTTGGAAATTACTCAGAACAGCTCTTCCTCAATCTTTTAAAATCAGGGGTCAACTAAAAACATCACCCTTAAGTTTCTCCAGCCTGTCTTTCTTGAATCTCCTCACACGAAACACATTTTAAATCCTTGTTAGCTCTTGAGTTTTAGCTCCATTAAATTTCTGTCAACACATTCTTTTTTTTTTCATGGAAATAGACAATTACAGTTTCTGTACACCACTATCAACACAGAAAAAAAAATGAAGATGGAAAACTACTATTCAACAAATAACTCGTAAAGTCTCTCAAAGCAGTTTCCCTTCAATGCACAGACGTACGAGAAGGCGTATTTCAGCAAAGGAATGCTCCGCGTCCGAGGGAAAGTGGCGTTTATTTGAGGCCGTAATATTTCATCGGGCTTCTGGAGCCACTGATTCAGAACGAACAGCTCCTTTCTAATTTATAGCGTGTTCGTCATGTCTGGCTGCCTGTTTAGCTGAAGGAGCCCGTCCTGGGAGAGAATTCATTTGGCTCCTGGAGGAGTCCAAGGAGGGACTAAGTAGGGATGCTGGGATAGGCACTTCAAGCAAAACAGACTGGAACTCAAACCATCTTAGATCAAGGGCTTATTTTAACCGGCAAGATACTTAGGAAAGGATCTCATCCATCCACAATACTCCTCTAGCCCCTATTTTTGCAGTGCTTCAGCTTACACATACTTCCCCCTAGGAACAGGAAAATCTCAAAAGGGAAATACATGGGCTGAACTTTATAAACTAAAGTGCAAAGTAATGAATGCTTAAGGGAAACAGAGAGGCTTGGGGAAATCGAGAAACAGACTATAACTTAGTGGAATATTTACTGTTTCCCACTGGCTTAGAAAAAGACAAATTTTCCCTCTGGCAAGGTGGATCTCATCCCCT